CCCCCCCCCCCCCCCCCCAGAGGGCTGGTATGCTGGCCTCTTCATATAGAATCTGACAGGTCAGTCATTAGGCTGCCACATCTCCCACTCATGATGAGCCACTTGAGCCAAGCAGTCTTTCCAGCCAGAACTTATCCCAGTTTCTGTAGCATGAAGCAACTGGAGGTATTGTCACTCATTCCCTCTGGAGGTGACCCCACAACATACAAGTATTGTCAGGTTGGCCTGACAGTTAGCTGATATCCATTTACTGTATAATCCTGGCTGGAGAGAGGCACTTTGCAAGTAAGTGCTGGGTGCAGATTTTGCACCTGAGCCTCTTCCCAAGTGTACAGCAGGCTAAAGTTTACACCACTCTATCTTCAACTAAGGAGACTAATGATAGGTACAATTTCTAATGATAACAAATACCACACTCACTTTGCTTTTGAACTGTGTCCTTGACAGCTGTCACAGCTTTGAGAAGGACAGAGGAAGGAATTCCCACAGTGGACAAAACACACTGAAGACCCTACAAGGAAAACACAAGAACCGTTCAAGCTGGAGCCCATCCCAGTTTCTGTAGCATAAAGTGACTAGGAGTATTACTATTCCCCAGGGAGGGGGGGAGGAGGGAAAGGAATGCCAGTCCATCACAAACTTATCCCAAGTGTTTCATCAAGCCTCCTTGACACTTCCCCAGTACCCATTTATACTCCTGGTTGAAGGGAGGCTCTGTGAAAGTAAAGTGTCTTGCCAAACAACATAACCTGATCCAGTCAGGTCTCAAACTAAAAAAAAATTAAATGTCACCATTCAAATTGCACAGATGATGGAGCCAACAAATGAGAGGTAAAACGCAATACCAATCTCAGGTTCTCTCTGGTAATGATATCATTCATTTCTGCCCCTGCTGTATAGTTGCCACATTAGTGACCATAATTAGTGGGTTTCCTGTGTTCCTCTGCCAACCCTGTTATGAAATCTCATTCAAGTTTCCATGCAGACTACATTCTTCTTTGTCAAATGCAGTGATTACATTTATTATGGTTTAAAAAAAATTAAAATCACCTGCTGATGCAGTTGTGGAGTTTGTATTTCACTGAGAATATTTAACAAATCCTTTTCCAGTTTGTTTATGTTCTCTGCCTTGGACTCTGGATACATCAAAAATGAAAATAGTAAGAGAAGTTTTTAAAACGTTCTGCAAACAAGTTAATTAGCACAGAGTTGCAACCCTTCTATTTTCAATTAAAGAATATAATTTCCCTTTCATGAATAATTTACCTTACTACCACAATGCAGCTTAGATTACCTTGGCCAGATTTGATTGAATCCAAAAGAGCTGACAGTTTTTTTAAAAGGTGTAGATCTCTGACTCTCTTACTGTGCTTGTCACTAGGAGAAAAAAAAAAGAGTCTATTTAGGTTGTAACTGAATTTTGAACTTGGACATCCTCACAAGTAAAAACTCCTGAACAACATTTGTGGGAGACTGATACAGTGTCCACTGCCTTCACATCATCTTAAAGTTCTTTCTTCTTTATATTTTCTTAAAGTTGATGAAGAGGCCAGGGCTACTGCCTGGCTAACCAACAAGTTGACAGTTGCATAGTCTGACCACAGGGGATTCTGGTTCCTACCAGAAATTCAATTATACTTTGTCCTGAGCTAGGGAAAAATGTTTAAAATCTGTCTTGATAAAATTTACCCCAACAAACAAACTTGTTCTGCAAAATTAAATAAGCTCATCACATCACCATAATGGAGGTTTGTATAAACAGTTTGTATACCTCTAACATGGGAGTAGAGGATATGTACTATATTCAACAATTATTCACTGAAGTGGAGGTGAGTATTGGTAAATATCCACCACTTTCGCCGACACTGAGGTAAAAAGTTGTTTAAATATATACCACACAGATACCAAAAAACAAATTTCTTTCTTCCAATATACCAAAAAAAAAAGATCGGAAATTAAACTCTTGACATGCAACTTTGTTTCATTGGCTGCTTGAAGGTGAATGGTACTTGTTATTCACTTCTGAACTAACTAATCAGCATGCCCAAAAAGCACTATTCACTTGTGTGGCATATACTACATAACAGTATTTTAATATACATTTGTACACAGAATGCACAATCTTAAACTGCAAGTATAACTAAGGCAACACAGAAAATGATTAGAAAGCTGCAAAACACTAGAGCAAAAATTTCTCTTCCAAATTGGCACTCTTAATCCCCACGGTATCAATGAGCACTTTTCATTCAACTAATTTATTCTTGTTTTCTCATCACAATACTCCCACCAACAGCATAGCTCCGCTTTCTGCATATAAATCCACACACAACCCACAATTCCTCCAATTGCTCTAACAAAGGGCTAATGCTCAAAATGTCAGCTTTTTTACTCTTTGTGGTGGCCAATTTACATTTTGAACCTAGTTGTTAACTCTAAATTACCAGAAAATGATCAGTAAGAATTCTCACCTCAGGGCACAGTGAAATGGTACAGTGAAAGTTTTCAATGTACCATCCCCTTGGATTAGAGTACAATTCAGTGTGTGCTGTGGGAGAGCCTGCCCCTGCTTGATCACATGACCTAATCCCATGATTCCATGTCCAGCATACAAGAGCCTGATAAAAAGCAGAATTAAAAAATACAGTTTGAATGCAACTGAAAACTGGTCGATGAAGGAAACTGCAACCAAAATTCACTTGACACAAGCAATAAATTTTGAAATAATTAGTTAAAGGTTAGAGACTAAGATCCATGTCAGTAAATTGTGAAAGAAAAAAAATAGCTGAGAAACAGCTTTAGTTTAATCAATCAGACAATAATTTCAAGTGTAAAACAAAAAGTAGACAAATGTTTGAAAAGGAAAGAAATTGCTCCAAACATAACTTCATAGCTGTCCTAGCCTTGTCAATAGTAATTAAAATCAATGTACTGCAACAGTTTAAAAATATAATACATGTTTATGTGTACAAAGCTTACCTACAATCCTTTCCAACATTAAAGGCAGCCACACGTGGCCCCTGTTCAGTTCTCCAGATCTGGATAAACACACAGTGAACTGACTATCAAAATTAAAGTTTAAGATTTCTGGTGCATGTGATATCAATTTGTGGATAAAATTTTGTCCAATAATGTGAGTAGCAATAGGTATTCTCAACCATACTTAAAGGAATCACTAATAACAAAAATCTTCCCCCAAAAATAAAAGTAATGTTATTTTACTTTAAATATTGACTGAGGCAGACCATAGCAGGAACTCCTGTTCAGTTTTCACTGTTAATTGTGCAGTATGAAATGTATGGATCAATGTCAGAATCTGAGCAATTATGTACCTACCCCTCCCCTCACCCAATGATGGTTAACTGATAACAAGTTAGGGTTAGCGTTGGGTTAGGGGAAGGGTAAGTGCATATTTGCATAGATACTGACATTGACTTAAATGATTCACTACATGACTGGCTTCTGAAAATATTATACCCAATTACAGCAAATGCCCACAAAAAAAGAAGAGACTCACAATACATACCTCAAGGATTCCTCTCTTTGTGGCATAAATAACAAGAAACAGAGCTGTTCTCAATGAGCTCTTGGGTGGTTCCTCCTCTTGATGATCCTCCTCACTAACCATTACCCAGCCACATTCAGCATCACGGTAACCTGCCGTGCAGAAATGGAAAGGTTACATCTGCACTAGGATCAACTATTACTAACAGCAGATCAAATTATCAAAGTGCTAAAGTTTCTAAAAAAAACTGTGGTTCTGCTTTGGTGGAAGGTAAAACAAGATAACTTGGTTTTATTAACTGAGTTGATAATATGAATTGGCCATCATAAAGAGTTTCTAAAAAATAAGGATGGTCTGATACATTTTTCCCAATCAATACAATACCATGTATGATACTGACATGTTTCTTTGATATTGATATCGATACTATGACATCATTGAGTTAAATGGTAAATCATGTGATTTGACTGATGAAATATAGGGTTACCTTGCACTGTTAAAGTTATGCAGTGTTCATTACTCTATAGAAGCATCAAAAAGACAGTCAAAAATTTAACACCAGATTAAGTTCACACTGAAGTCAAAACTCATGGTCATCAATAAGTTCACCCTTGCACCACTCACATGCCACTTACACTAGTTCAATGTGGTGCTCATTGGCCAATCTCAAGCCCAGAGTCTTCTTGGCTCCTTGTCAGCCAATGGTGGCTGGCATGAGACAACATGTGGGCTGGTCATATACAGCATTGAAAGTACTGATACTTTTAGTTAGCATCAATATTTTCCAATCTGACCTCCATATTGTCAGTATCAAATATTTGGTATTGGTATAGATCCATGCTTAGTTTCCCTTAATGGTGGCCAAGCTAAATTATCAACTCACTTGATAAACCAAATTAGCTTCTAAAATGGAGTTTTTCTATGAGCTCTATAAGCATGTTACTCATCTAGAAAAATTTTTGGGTTAGAAATTCCCTTCAAAAAATGTGACACGCATGTCTGAAGCAAAGACCCTTAAGACTCTAGGATTTAAAATAAAAGACCCCCTAAAAATAAAGTTGAAACATTTGGTGTTTCAACCAAGGTTCAAGGATGGAGTCACTATGAACATTTTTACAAAAAAGTCTTTTAAGGTTTGTAGATGATGAAAAGTTCAATGTTGTAAGGTGTGCTTGGCTCTTGAAGTCTTCAGAGGTGTACTGTGAAAGAAAGAACTGAGAACCTGCACAGAATTGGTAATACTGCCCCACGTAGAATATTGCCAGCACCTGTACTGGTTGAATACATGTATAAGGTTACAATAATTTTTAGCAGAGAAGCTCAAAATGAACACATCAAGGGGACCTTTATTTTTTAAGGTTTTTTTGTCCTAATGGAAAAGCAATCAAAGTGTTTGGAATAATCTACCTTTCCATATTCTAATCACAATGGCCTTTTTAACATCCAGTAACATAACTCGACCAAAATCATCAGTTGTGACGGCCAAACGCCCATTAGGAGCTAGTGTGATGCTTGTTCCATGACGATGTGTATCAGGCAACCCAAATCTACAAGAAAGAGCAACTGACTCAGTTCTACAAGGATGTCCTTCCAGGAGGGGGTTACTTTCTATAATAGGCTAATGGAGATGTGCCATTGGATGGGATCCCATTTTCACAACTGGATAGACTATAACAGCATTACATTTTCTATACAGTAATTAGAATGGGGTTGCACATATTTTGCAGCATTTTTCAGGGATAAGAAAATTCTGGTAAGAAGGGGATTTAAAAATAGCAAGATTCAAAGTTCAAAATTGTAACCAAATCAACAAAAGTCAGATAGACTGGGTCTACAATTGGCAGCAGAATAGACTATAATAGGGTAGGGGTTCTGAGAAACCAGCAGCACATACCCAGCAAAATTGATCAAAGTACAAGGTACTCCTCCTCCCACCCCACCACAGGGTCCTGCCAGTATTTTCCTACTTTCTCTGTGTTAAACAGCTGCATGTGAAAATTAAACAAAATCCTTAGCTGTATTGGATTACCTTGCTGGTAACGAAGTTCCTTTCTCCACCTTGGGCTTTGCAGGTTTTGTTGTTTCAGTTGACTGACGGGCAGGGTTGGTACCCCATCCAAGCCAACCACTGGAAATAAAGACAAAACAAAATAACAGATGTTCTTACCTAACCATCCTGGTCCCAATAATATGGACCTTAAGTAGTCAGGACCACAATGCAGAGGAAGATGTCAATTTAAAAAAAAAATTAGATTTTTAATTAAAATTTCTGGAATGGCTAGTTGTGCTTACCATCTCTTATGGCACATGACAACTCAACTTCAAAATGGCATATATGTGCAGTGCTGACTTCCAAATGGAAATTTAAATAATTTGCTGTTGAGTTTTCTGTTCTCAGACTATGCAAAGTTTGGTGATTTCACATTATTGTTGGAGAGGATGGCTAAGAAAGATAAAAATTTTTGCTAAGCTATTTTTTTATGCACATAAGATCTTTTGTTTTGCTGGATCCTTGATGCTGTCTCCATCATAGTTTACTAAAGGTCCCTAACATTGACTAGTGCAACATGAGATCATTCCACTAACCTTGCTGCTGAGAGCTTTGACAGTACTGCTGTTGTTAATTTGCTAGCTACTGCCAGTGCAACATCAGAAATAAGAGGAGGTGAACTACCCTGAAGAGGAGCAAAAAAAAAATTGGAGAGAGAGAGAAATTGAGAATTACAAATCATTGAAGGTAGAAAGTTTGTTTGGGCTAGGTAGTGCTTCCGTCAGCATCAAATACACTTGGTTTAAGATCCTGCTAATATTGGCTTCTGAGTTTCATATTGCAGGTCTTTGACCAGGGCATTCAGTTAGTCTGGTCACAAGTAACAAGTGAAATATTGGCATGTATTTTAGTCCTAAGCAAGTTTTTGACTGCATGGCCTCCCTCTCTGATCAGCTTATTGTCTGGAAACAATCACGTGGAAGTTCATAGTCCCCTGTTTCTCAGGATTTATCAGTATAAGCCCTTCAGAGGTTACCTACCCCATTCCTTCAGTTTGGCAGGATTTCCTTCTCTAACAAAACCCAAATTTTCTGTTCCACAGTTTCCTACCTCCAGAGAAGTGTAGACTGCCACAAACGGCTCCTTCCCTGTGCTGATGTAGTGAGACATGGCTGGCATGGTACCTCTGATGCTTGCATGGAAACCTCCGATGAATGAGGCTGTTTGCAACTGATCAAACATATTAGGGGGTACAACACCTTCAATAAAAAAAAAAAGGATTGTAAATTTTATTGAAAACTTTCTTTTTTCTCAATCGAAAACTCTTTATCAATAAATTAGTTCATACAACATCATACCCAGTTTAATCTATAGAATTCAGGGTTGTAATTAGAAAATGTAATAGGTGTATGATCTGAACTGAGTAGGTGGTGGAATTAAGTTATGCTTGGGTAGCAAGTATGATGTGTTGCAAAGCCAGACATTGATGTTAGAATCAGTTCAGAAATACTCATTTTTGTCTTCGACCACAATTCCCAAAGTAGCTGGTAAAATATGTTGCAACAGCTGGCTCTAACTTTAGTTAAGGAAGAGCATGATAAATAACAAAGATGCCATAGTAGTTAGGATGGCAATTTCATTAACATCATTTTCATCTTTCTTGACTTGGCCAACAGCATTCTAATTGTCTTAAAAAGCTGATTTAATATTCTCCAAAACATGCTTACTTCATTGGACAATGATTTCCAACCTAAATGGGAAATTTATTTCTAGTCACAGCAAAGCAATTACTACAAAGTACAATCTTACCACAACTAGCAATATCTGTGATGTGCCCTTGACCATCAAATCTCCATTTTTTGTAAGCAAGAGGAGGGGGACCAATGAGTTCAGATAGGCCACTGGCTTGAGCTAATTAAAGAAAAAAATTAACATCAAAATGTAGGGCAACATACTAAAAAATTAAATCAAAGTTATGGTTCCGTATCTAAGAATCAACAGTTTAAAATCAGGAACCTTAAATTCTTAAAAAGAGAGCTTGCAGTGTGAGAGCATAAGATTGAATATTTGCGCGAGTCTTACACTTGATGCATGAGACTTTAAAATAACTCTGCAAAATTAATGGAATTGGCCTCCTAAGCAGCAGCCTCACCTCTTGCCAGTTGGTTTCTGCAAGCTCTCAGTGACTGATACAGACTAAAACCATCAATAATAACCATTGCAGTTGGGTACAGGATGGCAAGTTCTTCAACCTAAACATGTTATAAAACACAGTCTGTGACAAAAATAAGCCACACCATATTTACTAGGCATCCTTTAAGTCCTGAAACAGTTTGGTCAAAAGCAATGCAGAGGGACAAGGGTCTGAGAGGACATTTTTAACCCTTTCAGTCCCATGATCTTGTTACTAATTCTCATTACTGTCCTTCATACAGTTCTTATGACAATAGATTAGAGAATTTAGTATTGGATCAACTAATGATCCCCTAATTTATATTTTTCTTTATTCTCATCAGTTATCTGGTTGATATTATATTGATATTGTAAGGAGAAAATATGTCTTGGTCACGCATGGGAGTTAAAGGGTTAAATGATCATCTAATTTCTTACAATATCACTCCTGAATCACACATTAAAGAAGAGAGAATCAAGGAAATCAACACCAAGTCAGAAAAGCTCTTGATTGTTAAACAAATTCTCCTTATCAGCAATTTAGGAAATGTATAAAGAACAGTATGGGGAATATGCATACTGATGTTAGGGTGTAAAGGGTTAAAGAAAAAGTATCAAAAAAATTCTCAAATAGGTTACATTTTTTTGTTTGTAGTGATGTTAATTTTGTTGCCACGTGTTTAACAGGTACAATTCTATTCCTACAAATGTTCCATACCTGCTCAGCAGTGCCATGATTTTTATATGATTGCCAAGTTCTGCATTTAAGCCTTAACACTGGGTTATCATGAAGAAACTGTGACAGCAAAAGGGATCCATTCTTAAAAAAAAAAAAAGAACATAAACTGTATTATTAATAATAATTACTATTAATAATATTTCTCAGTTAGTATGTGTACTATGATTGTTCAATTTGGCAAGTTGTACTTCACAGTACAACCTGCTGAATTCAAAATTGTGGGAAAAAACTTAGTCCATAACTTATAGTAAAGACCCCCAACTTGGTTAGGAAGAGGTATTTACAACAGTTATATGAGTTTTATTTAAGGACATTTTTAAGTTTTTCCTTGATCAGAAAAGGTATAAGTCCCTGTAAAACAAAATTCTCCAAGTTACTAACTTTTAACTATCCAATCAAAAAAAACACACAAGAAAGAAAAAGAGTTTGGGGAAAATTGTTTGATTTGCAGTTGTGGTAGTCCTTTTCTGTGATATGGACTACAAGGTTGAAATTATTACATGTCCCATAGAAGTATTCAGTTGTGATTCAACAAGAGAATAGCGATGGTCCACTGCTTGGAAATAACATTGCCAAAATTAGTTCTCTGCTGAAATTTCAATACCCTAATTCTTGACTGCAAAAATTTGTTCACACAAAATAGAACAAATTGCCCATCTGTGAAATATCTCATTCTTACAAAATGTCAATGCTATACAGTATTGACTTAAAGATAAATGTTCTTTCAAGGACCAGATTTTTCAGTCACCTAGATGGACCCAAAGATATAATGTTTATATGTGAATGTACACTAAAAAATTGTTTAATCCATGTTCTGTCACACAAATATTAAAATTACCTGTAAATAGATCCTCATGTATCCTGATGTAAATCCAGCCACAATGCAAGTCCAGTCTGGTGATCCTTGAGAACTTCTGCAGAATTCAACACCATTACTGATCATACACTTTGACTGTCATATGTGGATTAAGGAGAATTTGTTTAATGATCAAGAGCTCCTTTAGCCGGCCATCATTCCTTTTATTCCTGTGACCTTAATGTTTGAATTAGTAGTGATATTGTGAGGAGAAATTAGATACTTCACTTTTAGGTATCAAAGGGTTAATATAGAGATTTAGCCACGCCTAAAAGCAGAGCTCACATTTTTTTTTCTGCACGTCTCAAAGGCACAACGCCTTGCCCTGACCAGGACTATGGGATTTGAGTCATATGGAAATAAAAATCGCATTATTTTACAAATATGTACAGCAAGGTGCTAACAACTTACTTGTGTTGAGAAGCCAATGGTATGCACAATATATCTGTAATACATTCCCTGACAGTAAACAAGACAAAGAAAGCAAAAACAGTAAGGAAAACATTGACATTAATATCTTACATCAAATGCTCTTATACACTTAAAGGGCACAATGAAATCCTCCACTGGATATAAACACTAGTCATGGCTATTCACCTCTATCAGAAACACTATTCAAAATGTTCTACATATAACTTCTCTTTACAATACCCATACACTATCCAACAAACAGGTAATGAGATTGCTCAAACTTATCAGTTAGAGGTTGTTATCATGATCTAACACCAAATTCTTGTCACTAAATTACAAGGAAATGTGTAACAGCTAGATGGGAGAATTAAAAATCAGATCTTGGGAGTTAAAGGACGTTGCTGTGTTTCTATTCGCAACAATAATTATTGATTTTTATCAATGTTGTACCACTCAGAAAAACTTAATTCCGCATTCTCTGATCATTCTACACACACAAAGAATAACATATCAAACTAACATATACATTTGAGCTTTTGTCCAATTGTTAGCTTGGGTAAAAATTCCTGTGATTTTGAAAGCAATTCAAATAACAACCATCAAATAAATTTGTCATAACAACAGTAAATAGATCACAGACCATAATGACATAAAAAATTGGCACAAGTGACTTCTTCTGTGATCTTTTGTTGTACAGACCCATGGCTACATAGAGTCTACTTGTTTTATATAATGAAAGGCAGAATGTTGTTTATTGTGATGTTATCTAAGGACATACAAAAATAATAGCAGTAATTTTTTTTACCCTTCCTCTGTGGCAAGACTACCACTCCACACGATTTCATATTTTGTACTTGGCTGGCTATCTGATGGCTTGTTCCATCTGCCTGGAAAAGAATGATACCTTGATCTCAGCTTGAGTTATTGCTGTTGATAACGAATCATAATTCTATGGTTTAAATGGTCTTTAAACATATTGAACATAACAGTTATGATCTGTATAAGGACTATAGATTAACCTTTACACTTAAAAAAAAATAAAAAAGATTAACATACTGGCCAGGAAAACAGCTTTGTCATTTTTAGCCACAGCCAAAGTATCATTTGATGGTGACAAAGAGATGCAACACTCTTGTAGCCATGAACCAGTTGGTACT